CCTCTCTATTATGGAGAAGCCTCCTGGTGGAGTGGAGTGTTTTGTTTGGCCGGTGGGCCCTCCCTTCAGAGCGGCGAGCAGGCACGGAGATTGGCCGGTAAACCCAACGGCGGTCTTGGTTCAAGTGGTTCACGTGCCCGACCCTGCTGACGTGACCCGGAAGGTGAAACGTCGGTCTCTGAGAATGTGCGCCCTTGAACGGATGCTGCTGGGAAATGAATGGGTCTGGAAAGCCGAGAGGCCGATGGACCCGGGCGGACTGTTTTTTGGTGTTTAGATGTGGAGACACTTCATATGCGGAGACGCTGAACGGGAATGGAACCAGTGATTGCACACAAATTGTCTGGGTAGCAACAGTGCTCGTGACCGGCCTACCCAGCTGCGCATATGTAATATAAAGTAATTACCCAGGTTATCCTCGTTAATGTGACATCACTGCAGTTCGAATACTGGCCCCACTTCAGAACAAGACAACGGTCACATGACACTTGAACAAATCACTTGATTTAAAAAAAAATGACTAAAAACAATGAACTGACGCAAAATAATAACACTTAGGGGAGTTTTGCCAGCTACCTCAGGTGGCTCGTGATGCCAGCTCTCAGATGAGTTTCGGGGTTGTCCGACGTTTCACACCAAGTGTGGGAAGCTTCTTGAGGAACTGGCGAATGCATGTGGCTACCGCTTGGCTTCATGTGAAGAAGCTCCTAGGGCCCGGAGCGAAATAGGCATCGTTCCCGAATAGCCGGTGGTGCAACCCAGAGGCAGAGCCACGAAAACCCTGGGTTTGAATCCAGGCAAGTGGAGCAAGTTTGCTGCACCAAAAAAAAAAACGAATACAAATTCGTATTTTCACTTCATTTCGCGTGGCCCTGCATTCGAGATGATAACTTACGTCCACGCAACTCAACGGAGGACGTGGCAGCGGGCCGCTCTTTAAGGACCTTGGAACAGGCACTGTCGATGTTGTTTTTGGTAAAGGAGGCCTCGCGAAGTGGTGTCCCCCTTTGGGGACGCGGCGAGTTGTTCCACTGACGTTCATTTCACTTCACGAGACGACGCCGACAGCACGGCGGCGAACTCGTCGTTCGTTGCTTTCGTGAGAATAAAACAGGTTAAAGGTGCAGCCCTGCAAATGCTTGCTCATGCTACCGTTGGCAGAAGAACTCCAGGGAGCTTCAGAGCGCACCTCAAAAGGGTGTTTGGTCTACTCTTCCACGCCGGCCAGATTTCTTAGAAGAGGTGGGAGTGCCCTCACTGGGAGTACCCACACTTTACCCCACTGCCGATCGACTGTGGTTCACCCTATCGTTACTGCCGGGTGGACAGAGGCAGAAGGAGATTTAAGAAACCAGCCCCATCGTTGCAACTGCAGTGCCGGGAGATCGAAGCGGCGCATCTGGATCGCATTTAGAGTATTTGGCTGCTATCAATTTCCACACAATAAGCCCCTTCGTTGAGCCATTATTTGTGGCCAAGTCGCTTCTGAAAAAGAGCTACATAGCTCAGTGGGCCTTAGCTAGTAAAATGAAAAGTTTCGTTTGGTTAATAGGACAGCGCGCTACCACCGCGCCACCGCTCCCCGTAATGTACATTAAAGGCCACCGCACATCCATGCAAGGGCAACGCCACACAACACGGTGCAATCGTCAGCCAGGAGAGTGACCAGAGGCAGGGTCCACTCAACGTGCTTGTAGAGTATTCGGCTGCTATTAATTTCCACGCGATAAGCCGCTTCGTTGGGCCATCATTTGTGATGGTCAGGTCGCTTCTGAAAAAGAGCTATACAGCTTAGTGGGTCTTACCCGGAAAAATAAAAAAATGTTTGCAAGTTTTAAACTTAGTTGGGTCGTAGGTCTACAATATTTGAATTGTGAGAGCATGGGATAATTTACCAGGATACACAGGAATCGTCGGGCTCTGCACTACAGAGGCCGGTTTAAACAAAACACTGTGCTGTGTAGCTCCACGTGGCGTATTATTATTATCATCATCATCATGCCATATAATTTTATTAGTGTGAGCGCCTGGGGAATTCTCGGATAATGCGTGCCGTGTGGTTGAGCTCGGTGTAATGTTGATACGGTAATATACAAATACACACCATACCCAAGGGTTATTACAGTCTGAACATTATTCTTATCATCTTGTATAAAGCCTTTTATTCCATAATGTCAATTTCTGCCAATATACATTTGAGTAATTACTATTGTTATTTTTTTTACATTCATCGAAATTTTTATTTTATTTTTTTGGCCTGGTAATTTATTTATTTCAGCTGACATCAGCAATGCCTGACCTACATTTTTTTGAATGCGTGCGGGGAGGGCGTTGATGGAGGCTTCACAAACGGGCATCCAGCACCCGCCTCCCATCGCTGCGCAAAACTGGTGAACCACAATTTGCACCGCGATGCATTTTCTGATGCACTTACTTTAGCAGATGCAGGCTACCCGCGCACATATGCACGCACGCGGACGCAAGCACACGGCCGCACGCACATGGACATATGCACATGGACACGCAAACAGACAGGCACACGAACGCACCCACGCAGACACGCACACGGATGCATGCACACAGATGCATGCACACGCATATGGATGCACGCATACGGACACGCACACAGACAGACACACGAAAAGCACACACGTGGACACGCACACGGACGCACACACACGTAGATGGCCAGGCTGAGCGACGTTAGCGGGAGCCGCCAAGGCCAGCAAGGCGCAAGATGTGGGTAGCGTGGGCAGTCACCGCGATAAATACAATCATCTCCGAAACTTCCGACGCTTTCAAAATGCATCAGCTACTCGTTTAAGGCTGAGCTGACCTAAGGGAAAATGTCTGGAACAGTGTTCAAATTCCACTTTCCAACGATGCTCTCTGCATAGCTGCGAACTGAACCCAGGTGGCTGGGGTCATCTCACCACGGCGTCGAGATGTTAGCTTCCTCACCTTGTATACAGGAGGTCGTGGGTTCGATCCTGACCCTGACACTTGGTATATATTTGGAGTTTGCGTGTTCTCCTGGTCCTACAGTTTTTCCCTCCACATTTAGAATTAACATGCGTTTAGATTACTTTGTCTGCTTTAAATTTCCATGCAATAAGCCACTTCGTTGAACTATCATTTGTGGCCAGGTCGCTTCTGAACGAGAGCTACATAGCTCAATTAGCCTTACCCTGTTTCGTTTACAGTTTGAGTTTAGTTTAAGAAGTAGCTTCTTACCATACGTTTGTATTGAAAAATATATATATTTTTAAGGAAAAAAATAGGAACGTGTCCTTTACAGGACAAGTATAATATGCACAAGTAACGAAGCGCTTTCTTTTACCTCGTAAAGTAAATAAAAATGTTGTTTACAGTTTTAAATACAAACGATAAATTGGTGTCTTGGGAGAGTCCCGCAATGGCTGCTCGGACGAGGAAGATCGGCGGCAGACTTTGGGCCAAGTACCGACGCAGCACTCGCGGGCGAAAAAACAAGAGGACTGGGACTTTCTTGAAAGTCCTCTCAAGACATTCTGAAAGTCCTCTTGAGAGCAAATTGCCAAAGGGACAGTCACGGAGGTCCTGCGAGAGAGCGCCCGTGGAGAAGCGGCGTCTCGCAATCCCAGCAACGAGACGCGCTCGCGGGCCAGTGATGCGACGCAACGGCAAGGGCCGTCATTCCATCCACGGCTTCTCCTGAGCGTAAAATCTACGTCGAGTTTAACACGTAGGCTTTCGCGACCAATATCATCCATAATAAAAGTTGTGTTGGGTTAGATTGCGTAAATATATACAAGTGTCGTTAAACCCGCCACCACCCCACACAGCCAATTAGTAAGGTTTGTCACGTAAACAGAACGTGCCGAATCGTTAACAAGTACAGCACACCGCTGTGTTGGAGAGCCAAGCCACGACATTTACAATTTTGTGGCTTTTTCTACAACACGCGTCGGGTGGTGGTGCGTTTAAGAACACTTTTATATATTTACGCGATCTCACCCAAAAAAAATCTCTATTGTGAAATCTACGTAGAGCGACCAGGTTCACGTCGCGAAGGATTTCTTTCAGAATTTGCCCCTATTTTTTTAATTTTCATCATTTTATTGTGGGGTGTTCTTGCTCTACGGCATCGTGATCACAACTGCACAGAGCATCGTTTCGCCAGATTCATCGCAGGCAATCAAACGAAGCAGTGAACGCCGCGCGCGCCGTTTATTGTATTTACCTTAATTCCCACTCTAATGAACGCGTTCAAGATAACGCGACGGTTAAACCCTCATTAAATTTTACTGCGAAAATCTGAAGAGAAGATACACTTTCACTAATCGGGAAACCTGGCATCTCTCGCTCCGTTATTGTCTCTCTGCGTTGTTTGTCCGCGTCTCGATGCGTGTGTCCGTGTCTGAGTGAGGCAGTGCATCCATCTCCCCTCTTAGACTGGCGTTGCTTTAGCGGCCACGGACAATGTGAAGAAAAAAGTATTTCTGGAACCGGTTAAAACCGGTAACCATATCCTTTTTGATGGAGGTGTTTTTCTAGATCAAAAATCCTATCCTTTAACTCTCATTCGGTTTACGATTTTCGTTTCGGTTAATGGTCATAAAAGTTAGCAGTGGACTCCGATTTCGTGTTCTGCCTCGGTTCGGCTCTCTGGTGCGTGAGTGTGGGGAGCGGTGGCATAACGGTTAGCGCGCTGCGCTGCGCTACGAACACGGCGACCCGAGTTCGATTCCGGCTAACGGCCAAAACCAATGACGATTATCTGAAGGGGTTCTAGGCCTCCCTTAGGTAGACTCAGCCTCAAATTTGTACCTGGTGCTGTGTGTAAAAAAACATCGCCACTAGGGAGACAAAGGCGGCCGGGCGTGGTGCTGGCCCCCCTCGTGTGCTGTTCCGGCCTTCATAGGCACTGCTCGCTAGCAGCACTTGCTCCAACGGTCTGTTAAGGCTATACGGGAGGGGGGAGATCTTTTGTCTTTGTGTGTGCGTGGAACGCCCCGCACCTGTTTGGCAAACACCGCGATGTCCTCGCTGAACGACGCCGATGAGCAGACGTCCCCGCCGGCGATGCCGGGCTCCCTGGGCGTGCACGTGGCCAGCTCGCACTTCTCAAACACGAGCGCCAGCAGGGGGAAGAGCGGGTGTCTGCGATCAAGCGGCCCGCGGGACACACGGAGCCGAAGAGAAGAGGGGGGGGGGAGAGACGCACGCGACGATCCCTCGTTATAGCCTCCATCACCACCCACTGCTTCGGCACAGTGCTGTGGACGCACCCCTTGCTGGTCAGGGGCTGCTGCCGAGCCATCGGCCTGGGTGCGCACGCTCCGTTGAGCTGTCTCGGTGTCTCCGATTCACCTGTCGGCAAATCATCTGACGATGTCGCTGTGTGAAGCACTGCTATGACGAGAGAGCGTCACCTTGTCAGGCTCCCGCTTTTCATTTGAACGTGGGTGCCGCCAAGGTACCGTTGGTGCGAAGGCCGGCGTGGTGACCACCTGCGAAAAGCTGGCACGGGCAAGAGTGTGGTCAGCACCACGCCCGGCCGCCGTGATTTATCCTCTGCTGATGTTTCCACACCGAGGCGAGGCCGAGGGCCGGTTTGGATCATCGCCACTACTGCTGACCGTGAGCGGGAATTGACCCCGTGTGGCTCCGGGTTCACTACGCCACTACACCCCCACACGCACAACCCTCACCTACGCGTACTGACACGGTCATCATTGTTCATACAAGCACAAAGAAACACAGCCATGCTTTCACACACACGCGCGCGCGTACCTAACGCTGACACATCTAAGCAGAGCCGAGGGGCAAATCGGCACTCCTGATGGCCCTTGAGTGAGCAGTAAACATTTACCAGGGCAGACGATTCCACTGGGGGAACTACTTTCCTACCACGGTGAAGTCGGCCTCGCTCACGAAATCTCACCCCCCCCCCCCCCGGCGCGTCACTCCGCCATGCGTGATAGTTCCCGAGCCAACGACCGTGCAAGGGCCATGATGCTCCAGTTTCAATACATATTCAGATTCTGATGGTCGTGATTATGGTCTTCGAAAGAGGGTGCTCTCCTCGAAGCCTGGGCATCTCAAGAGCGTCTTTACACCGCATCTCATCTGAACACATTTCAAAGGGTATCCCCATTGGCAGCTGTCTCTGTGGGTACACGGTTACCCACAGACTCTCGGCCTCTGCAAGCGAGCATTTAGTCTACCAGTGATGACTGCGATGTACGATTCTCAATTCCAGTGAATGTGCGGTTCGTTTTAATGTCCGGGCATTGTACAGTATCTAAAACAAAATGTAACATGCTGGAAATGTTTTCAAAAAAAATAAATGTTGGCCGTCGCCGGCACGCGGTGTGGTCGCGAATCCGCCGCAGATGAATGTCGAATTGGAGCCCTTTAGAGACCTCTCCCGTTGTTAAATCAGCAGCCAGACAATAAATGCACCCCTGATTACATCTGGTCTAAACATTACGAGAGCCCCCTTTGCCACCATTACGACATTGCGCCGTAGAGCTCTGGGTTTTATTGGATGATTCAGGGCTCGGTTTAAAAAAAAAAAACTTCAGCTGACTTTTTTTATAGAAATGTGTTTTTTATAGCATTTTTCATTCTTTACAAACGCGCACACGCGTGCACACGTGCACAGAGGCATTGTATAATGCCAGTTCATTTACTGTTAGCAAGCGCTTATTCAGGCTACACAATGGGGTGGTACAGCCAGTATTACCTTTGTATGTTCCGTGGAGATGCTGACACACTCACATGCTGCACGAGCAATGTTTTAATTGTTGAGTTTACCTAGGGGAGGCTCAGGTCTGCTTCACATAGCCACTAGGGATGCCAAGACCAGAGATCGAACCCATGCTACTGCTGCCCACATCTTGCAAATTGTGCGAAATTGAGACTGCGAGCCACGCCCTGACAGAGCATCGTCGTCGTCGCAAACTTCACAGCGACTGCAAACCCACACAGAGATATAAAAACTTCCACTGTTGGGTTCCAGTATTTGACAGACAGGTCCATGACATGATGTTTATTCCACACCCGGTCGTCTTTGTCTCCCCAGTGCCGATGATTACACACCGCACCAGGCACTCATACAAGGCTCTGTCGACCCACAGGAGGCCCAGGACCCTCTCAAATATTCCCCGCCACCGTTAGTGGTCGTCAGAGGAAATCGAACTCGGGTCGCCACGGTGGTCAGATGTTAACTACCTCGCCTGGTATACAAGAGGTTGTGGATTCGATCCCGACCCTGACGCTTGGATATTTGGACTTTGCATGTCTTTCTCCCCGTGGTTGCGTGGATTTGTATCCGGGGTTTGCCCTCCACATTTATATTCAACGTGCAGTATAAGAGCATTTGGCTGCAATGAACTTCCACACGATAAGCCACTTCGTGAAGCTATCATTTGTGGCCAGGTCGCTTCTGAAGAATAGCTACATAGCTCAGTGGGGCCTTACCTGGTAAAATAACAAACCATATTTTAGTTCGGCTCATGACGCAGCCGCACTAATCACCACCGTGCCACCGCTTCCCCTACAATGGACGTGAAAGGCCACCGCACATCGACGCACGGGCAACGCCACACGAACGCTGTTGACGCGGTGCGATCGCCAGCCAGGAGGGTGCCCAGAGGTGGGGTCATCCATTGCAGTGGCTACTACAAAGTTCACGTGGTGGTGGTGAACATAACGCGCGGCAGCTCTTGTCTTACTTTCATTTACCGGAGAGCGCCTTGACTAAGGCAGTGTTAGCAATTTGTGCAGCGGTACAGCGTGATGATATGAGATGGGTTGCCGAGAAGGATGGCAGTGCGTGATGAATATAACGACGAAGGGTGAAATAAACGATGATAAAGCGGCAGTGAGTGGTCGATGACGGATGGTTATGGAAGTTGCGAAGAGGGATGGAGTTCGTGATGGGGGGAGGGAGAGGTAAGGGGAGTTGGGGTAATCGAGGGAAAGCAAGTGAATGTTTTGGGGGGGAAGAACGAAAAATAGACAGTGAGGCCGATTGTTTGACGTGTATGAATGTTGAACTTCTTTCGCACCGTACGTAGCCAACCGTGAAGGGGCAGGTCCAGTGCGAGGGGTGCCAGAAGTGAATGGTGATTGGACACAGGGAGGACGGTGGGGGGGGGCAGAGACGGCTGTGATTGTGAACGCAGAGGGGCGAGAAGGAGCGTGGAGGCGAGATGATGATGCGCTGGGGCGAACCCACGGAGAGGTTTGTCGACGAGGCTGAGGAATTCGCAAAGGCAGCGATGGTAGCAGACGGCAAGCCAGCGTGGCAGGACGAGCAGAGGCAATGTTTGGCGGTGGTGGGGGAGACTGAAGATGATCCGGGCAGCGGTATTCGGCATTTGTTGGCCAGGGATTTGTTTTTTTGTATATTGGTGCTGCTTGGCATAGTGGCCGTCCATAAATGACGTCACGCGATTTTGGACGATTTTGGACCCCCCCCCTCCTTCGTCACACGCCGTCACAAAAAGTCAGATCCCCCCTCAAATAAGACGTCACAAAGCTCTGCCCCCCCCCCCCCCCAAGTATAAAACATGCTTCAAATCGCTTTAAACTATTGTCATTGCAGTGCGTATTTAATGGGCCGCTGCACTCTGATGTTGTACGAGAAAACATTTATTAAAAAGTCTATTTAATTAAGTAGAACGTTTCGATTTAAAGCTTTCGTGACTGTAGGGATTCATCTTCTTGGTTCTTTCGGTAAAGTCACATAGAAGGGAAATAATAAAAACATAATAAAATAATTCTCACGACGTTTCGGCCACAACGCAAGCAGCCGTCCTCAGGTGAAGACCAGGTCTGTCGGGGAGACAGCGTCTGAAAATTCATGGGTGAGTGAGCAGTTGAGTAAGTGGATGAGTGATAAAGTGAGTGGCTGTGGTGTTGGGACCTGCAGTGTGGTGGTTGAACACAGTGTGGATTAGTGGAGACAGAAAGTCCTTGGCAGCAGAGTGGTTTATATTCGGATGTAACACCTCACGAAACGATCTTTAAAAAAAGAAAGACATTAGGCTATGACGAATGACAACTTCTCCCTTAGAGGTACCCGTCAATACACCTTCACACGCAACATGCATACAAACATTGCAAGCTTTCGTTGACAAATAAACCGGTCACATACTAAGTGTTGTGCATGTACGTGTTTAAGAACGCGCGCGTGCGTGCACGTGTTCATCATTGAGCACACTGTATGTAAAACCTCGTGTCACAGTCACTGAGCAAACTCGACCTGAAGATGTTTCTCTCGCCAAGCACACGACAGATAGGCGGGGGCGATAAAGTCTCGAGAAACGAGGCACGCGTCAAACGCGCCCGATGGTAAATCCATACGAGAATTAGCGCCCTTAGTGACTCGCCGTAAGGCAAGGGCTTCGGTCGACTTAGAGGAAAATCAATTCCACCCCTCACGACACCGCGTTCCAAGTGCCCCGCGCACAGATAAAACAGACCGGATTGACAAGTACTGCGCTTGTAAGTTACACTTCTTTGTCAATCAACGGCTGAGCGAATGAAGGACTTCGGGGCCGTCCCCTTTCCTGCGCCACGTCGGCCACGGGAGGTCGTTTGACCATACTTCACCACGCAGGTCAGTGCGGGTTGGTGAAGGGGGTGGGTGCCCAGCAGGGGCGGAGTAGTAACGACATCATCATACCTGTCAACCCCCTATCAGTGCCCTGCCTTATTACAGACCGACTCAGACCTTGTTGGTCACCCCGTGCCTCTTAAAAATCTCAACGTTCATCCTACAAAGTCCCATCACAAGGGAGAAACACAGACAAATAGACACAAACCCTTTTTCTTTGCCCGTATTGAAACAGCTGTACGCCGTGTAAACCGTATGGTTTGATAGCTATGCATTATCAGCTCGGGGGGGGGTGCCCCTCCAAGATTTGATGTCTGGCACGGTCGCACTTGGAGGCTATAGAATCTCGCGGCTCCTCTTGCCCTAATCACGGCGTCGTTCTACGGTCCCGCAAAATACAGCCACCGGACAGCTCTGCTTGCCGACCTGGCTACACTCCAACAACACGGACACGGCAAAACAAACATGCGATGCGCAATTCTGCGGAGGCCAAACGTTGCTTCTCCAATAACTTAAAATTAAAACGTGGGAC